TTTCCAATTATATATCTCCATAAATCCAAAAGGTCAGGTTTCATTTGTTTTATTTATGATGTAATAAATATCTATTTTGTGTTGAGGATATTTTTAGGTAGCCAATTATTATAACAGTCTCTTAGAACAATTTTTGGTAAGAAAATTGTTATTTTGTCAAGCATATCCTGTTCTTGTTTATTGGGCATCAATATTATATGGAATAAAATAAATGTAATATATATAGTGTACATATACCTCCCACATAATGGTAAAACTAAATGAAGACATCATTGCCACTAATGTCTTACCGTACCTTTATGTGGGAAGTATTTCTGCCACACTTTGTATATTGATAAATAAAATAAAATTCCTCAGTCCTATAAACAATTGTTTTTGCACCATGGAGGGGGATACACTTACTATAGCATTAAAACAAGCTAAATAAAAATTTTCCAGGTGCTTATCCATGGTTCCTCAAGACTGAGAAATGCCATGCACAAAATAAAAATTTGTTGTTTTAGCAAAGACTTCCAACCGCAAAAAAAATAAATAAAATTTTGTTAAACTTTAAATTGAAGTGGTAAAAACATATAAAATCCTTATGCAATATTAACAAAAATAAGAAAGAAAAAACTGATGGCAACAAAAAAAAAAATTAATATATGAGACTCATTTACTAATACTGTCAAAAATTTTCTGTATGTCATATGTAATAAAGAATTCTGCATTTTAAATCATTAAAAGTAATGGTGAAGTAATTTCTGTCTGAATTTCTGGCATGAAGAGCTACCATTATTTACACTATTTACATTCAGATTATTGTCCTCATCTTTTTTGTTAATATCACATTTTTGCTGTTGTGCCCTCCAGCCTTCCTCAGGTGCATATTGATCTGGGTAACCTACAGAGAATCCTTTATTTAATCTATGAGAGTAGACTGTTCTCATTCCACTGCTGGTGTCTAGGGATATCTCATCTAGTTCTTATTTTTTTTACTGCTCAGTTATTGCTCACTTTGTTTTCACCAAGTCTAGAGTTGGTTCAGGAATTTGATGACATATCATGAGTTCAAATCCTGAGCTGGGCAATGCGTACTTGGACACAGTGGAAAAATGGGTCAGCAATAACTGAGCAGTACTAAAAATAGGAACTAGATTAGATAACCGTAGACATGGACAGCGGAATGAGAACAGTCTACCCCATAGATTAAATAAAAGATTCAGAATTCCCTATAGGTTACCTGGATCGATATACATCTGATGAAGGTCAGAGGGGGCACAATCACTGAATCATTGTGATACTAAAAAAGATGAGGACAATAGTCTGAAAGTAAATAGTGTAAATAATAGTGAAGTAATTTTGCAATTACATTGTTTATATTTTCTGCATGAGTAAGCTAGGATTTTTATCAGTACAATGAATTCTATTGTTGCATGTAATAAAGAATTCTGCATTTTAAATCATTAAAAGTAAAAAATATCCAAACAAAACTCATACAAAACAAAAGAAATAAATATAATTTATTAGGAAATTATTAGATATTCCATTTGTTATAACAACATGAGGTATGTTCATTTATTAGGATTAATTAATACCTTCCTGCTTGGAAAACTTAACAACTACTGTGGACATACTGTTTTTTTTTTTTTTTTAGTTCATGTAGAGTAAGTGACCATGGTTAAATGTAAATGGTAGAACTGCCCAACAAACAGAATTGACAAAGTTTGTAATAAACAATAACAAGAAAAAAAAAACAGGTCAAAAAATAATATTGAGCAAGCAAACAATATATTCAAGACAAAGCAACAATAATAAGGCAAAAAGTTCACAAACTAAGAAATGGGGGTTTGACACATGAGCAAATTCGGATAAATGAATGTAGCCTTCTGGCTTTAAGACAAGAGAGACCAGGACTATCTTATTGGCTAGGAAGAAATCCTAGCAAGCATTTGTGTGCTTTTGCCTATAAATTGGGAAATGGGGGGAAGTATTTTGCAGTCATTCCCAACTAAGATTGGAACCAACAGTTCACCTAATACAAGACCCAAGAGCCAATCAAGCTAGAGAGTTACTGAGTGAGATTGTTGTAATGGAAGGGGAAAGAGAAAGTAAAAAGTGCATATTATAAGGATATGTAGGGTAGATATTGGTTGACCTTCGACTTAAATCTAAGATTGTAGTGATCAGGGAAGCATCCCCTCAACTCTCTGTTCCTCAAAGTAACACTTTTAGAGAACTTACTTCTTAACAATCATGGAGGGAATGGGGGGTGATTTACTACCATGAATCTAACATGATTGATTTTAGCTGTGAAGATGTGTGCTTTTGTGACCAAGAAATGTAACTCATTTGAACATTTCCTATATTTAGCAAGTTCCCCCCCAAAAAAGGGTGTAAGACAAGCATGCAGCTTTTCAATGGATTTAATTAAACTATACAGCTGGATGATTCTAAGACAACTAGAAGTCCTAGCAGGATTTGTTATTGGTGGGCATAATTTAAATGGCACAAGATATGCAGACAACACTTTGTTGATAGCAGATACAGAAAGAAAACTAGGAATTTAACCATCAATTATCATCATCATCCTTTGACCTCCCTTTGGTTGGTTGGAACTCCATTGACAATCCCTTTCCACACTGCTTGGTCCTGTATTTTTCTCCCCAGATCCCCAATGTCTGCAAGAACTATCCATCAATTATAAGAGGACAGAATGTATGGTTATTACCAAAAGGGACAGCCTAAGATGAGAGCTATGAATTGGAGATGTCAAAATCAATCAGATGACAGAAATTGTGACACAGAATAGTGAAATCTCTTCTGAAAGCTAGACAAAGTATTAAAAGACAGAAAAATGTCATTAGAAACAAAGAAAAGAGTGCTGAACTGCTATGGAATATCAATCTTCCAAAATGGCAGTGAATGTTGAGCAATTTCCTGACAAATGAAGAGGAGACTTGAGTTAATGGAGATGTGGTTCTACAGAAGGATGTTGAGAATACTATGGATAGAGCATCTAAGCAATGAGGAAGTTTTAAGGAAAAGAGAAACAAAAAGGACATTTGTACTGAGAATCAGAAAGAGACAATTGAAATTTCTGGGACACATAATGGAGAATTTGATGCCCACAAGACATATTGAAGGCAAGAGTGACAGAGAGAAAGAAGTAACTTAACAAGCTTGTGTAAATGGATCGCAGAATAGGAACTGAGTGGTATAGTAAGGAGACAGATGTTATTGAGAGCTAAAAAGGTTAGTAAGCTATGATCATCTATGTCCTTTGAGGACATGGCACATAAAAGGAGAAAAATGCCTCCTGTTACCATAACAATGGAATATCTCATTAGTAAGAAGGTAAAAGACAGGTTTGTATGACTGATAAATATATAAAATCAAAAGTTTTAAATTATGCAGTAGATTGAAAAAATAATGGCCATTTCAAAATTTAGTAATGTGTAACAAATATAACTCGTCATTTTGCCAAAGGAAAAAATCTCTTTTGTCAAATTAAATATTGCTACATATATTGATGTATTCATATTTTAACATTGAATTTGCATATTAAAAATCCTTGTACATGAAAATGTAATAGAATTATGTAGTTTTATTGCATGATTATAGATTTTGTTACAATTTCTGTAAAAAACTCAATCACACAGCTTTAAACAGTTCCCAAGATATTGTGCAAGAAATTTTTTCTTAGTCTTCTAATTTGAACAGTGAATCAAATAGTGATTGTGATTCAAGACAATTTCTAGATGATTATAAAGAAATTGTATTGAAACAGCTGACAAAATATCTTGTGCAAAATTTCCTTATTCAGGGTTTTCTTATTCCAGCAAATAATTAATGATTAAACACAGATAATTATTATTTGTAGATAATTATAACACTAAAGCAATGATTGTCTTGAAAAAGCTGACATGATATTTTGTGTGAAATGTATTTGTTGTGGGTCTTCTTATTTTGACAAAGAATTAGTTATACAAGACAATTTGTAGATAGCTATAAAGGCAGTGAAAGCAATGATTGTTGTGAAGCTACTCAAGAGATATTTCATTGAGACATGTCACACAAAACTATCCTAGTGACAAAGTGATTAAAAATTTCATAATAAATATGCAAATTTCAGAGTTGATTTGTTTAGTATTGGAAAATGTTAGAATAAATGGTAGAAATATTGTTAAGAGAATGACAATAACCACCTAAAACAAAATCTAGGAAACTCAATAAATTTTGTGGTAATCTTGGACATTTGTGCCCACAAAAAAACGGAGTTTCAAAAGGATGGTTTTTACATGAAACTCTGCTATTATTTTAACTACCTTCATTTCAAATAAATAATGTTTATTATTCTTGTAAATTCTCAAGAACAAAATGTATAAATTCACTTTCATAAGTTTAGGTTTTATTGAAAATTTAATCATTGCTTCTTAAAACAGTAAACATAACGAAGGGGTGAAAGTAGTTAAAATAATAATAGTGTCAAGAAAAACTGTCCTTTTGACACACTGTTTTTTTGATGGGTTACAAAGGTTTAATTGTTTGTTTAGTGGCATATCAACTACTTATGGGTCATTTAATGCCGAATTTTAATTTTCTTGGGAGCATTATTAATTTCTTTGGCAAATGTATTGCTAGTAATTTTTGTTACAAAAATATATTGCTGGTAATATTTTTTACTATGAAAATGTATTATCAATATTTTTACTACAAAAATGTTTATACTTTCATAGTGTTTTGACCCTATTTTGGGAGATAACTACTTGCCCATAGCTGGGACCCTAACAAGTGCTACTAACCTAGATCAAGGTGGACCTGGAAATAACAGCAATTAAAAGATGGTTCCATGCTCCTGAAAACCTCCCAATCAGAGGCCTTGCTGCCAGATGTAGTCTATTGTCATACCCAGGATGGGGTACAAAGGTCCAAGATTACCAGTTTTGTTATGTTGAACTGGTCATTATTTTCTAGACAACCTAATGTGTATGTATTTGGGAATGTGTTTGTATAATTACCATTCCTAATGATAATGTGGACTCCAACATTTTTGCTTTTTCTTGATCCTCTTTAGTCTTTATATCATATGCTTCCAAAGAATTGGGATATTTCCATTCTGGCAATGTCTTTGTCAACAAGTTCCATATTTTACTTGCATTACTGCTCCTGAAAAAAGAATCAAAGATTCTTTTATGATAAATCTACACCTGATATATCTGGCAAACATATTGTTATGGTCCAGGTCCTTGTACCATAGTGATGGTCCAAGGTAGAACCAATAAAGAAGAACTCGAACACAGATATGGAATAACACAGATATATTACAAACAGGAATATATACAGAGAAGTAGAAAGTGTTAGTACGAACAATCAGGTTTAGTAGTAATTGTCTGAACGCGACTCTGTTTCGGACTGCCTCTGATTCGACTGACTGACTGACTCGCTTGCTCTGACTGACTGACAGACTCCTGACGGACCTCACTCCAGACTTCAGGCTGAACTCCCTGCTTCCTCTTGAGGCACAGTATTTATTACGTATGGAATAGTCCATTATGTTATTATGGGTAAGGTCCCATAACAATATACAAATAAATGTGGGCAATAAAAAATATAATAATGTATGTAAAAGTGCAAAGAATAACATATATATAAACATGAATATATACGCATCAATAACGGAGTTAAAAAAAAAGACACTATAAAAATTGAAAAAAACAGATATTCATTACAACTGGAAATCTATATAATAAATGTGAGTGTCAGTGTGTCACTGTCACATTTTTCAACTTTACTCCTAGAGGCCTGAGCCCAACATATCTCAACATACCATTTTGGAATCAGGGTGACTCCATGAGCAAATTAAATGGGATGGATTCAGACCTGCAATCCTGAAATTTGGGATTCCCAAGTTTTTCATTGCTGTGATTGTTTTTGGTGATTTTTTTTTTTTTTTTACATGATATTTTGTGACAAATTTTCTTGTATGATAAGAATTTTTATAACTTGGAAATAAATTTGGGAATAATGAAAATTAATTGTGAAATCCAGCAAAAATCACCCATGAAATAAAAATAATTGTTTGTAATGAAAGTAAGGACCTATGTACATCAAATTGTGTTTAAATTAAGTGGCGGCAGAAGAATTGTCATTGAACTTTTGAAAGGTAAGCTTAAATATTAATACAGTACTTAAATGCAACAATCAATTTTGAGTTCTTCTATAGTTTATTGTTGCCTATTGCATCTACTTCTCTCTACCTATTCTGATGAAGGCCCAATCTAGACCGCTCTGCAGGAGCTAGCTTAAATGCCACCCGATAGGGCAGCTTTTAAGCTATTATTTAATATACAGATCAAACCCTTGAAAAGTAGACATATTACCACAAAACTGAAGAGTTGGGGGTAATTACAGTTAAATAATTCCTTTGTATATATATATATATATATATATATATATATATATATATATATATATATATATATATATGAACTAGCAGAATACCCTGTCTTCAACTGGGTGTTTCATTACTGGGAATTTTTACCATTCAAATGGAGCAGTTTAAGTTTAAAGTCAGCCAACCCAAAAATCAATATTAGTAACAATATTTGGGTGCAACTAAGGCACATCCCAAATGGGGGTTAATAATTTGAATGAGGTGTGGCCCTGAAAAGGGATGTTTTTGCTTTCTCAATCTTGCAAGGAAGGAACCTCTTCCATGGACTGTCATAATAATAATATACAATAGTTTTTATTTATAATATAATTTTTTTATAATTCTAATAATCTTTTGTGTTAGATTTCAGCTCTCTAAATTGATTGTATGCTGTTTTTTACAGGCATTAAATTTTGCCTTTGTTTTCTGTGCAAAGGGTAAAAAATCATTTTTTTGATTTTTCACCTTCAAGGCTGTAATTTTTTCCAGCCAATTTGAACTCAAAACTGGCACTGGTTTATCTATCAAACAAAAAAAATTTAATTGAAATCAGATGAAAACTGTGGAAACAGATAAACAACATCCAATCACACACACACACACACATACACACATTCTGAGAATTATAGATATAGATTTTTAAGATGATATATTTATGAGTTAATGGCCTTACTATCAAGGATAGAGCATGTGTTAATATAAAAGTGGACACTGAGGTCAACACTAAGCAGCAACAGTCTGTTTCATACTTGAATGCAATATTCAAACCATCTTTGTTATGTCAAACTGAAAATTACATTCAAATGAAACAGACTGTCGCTTCTTGATGCTGACCTCAGTGTCTACTTTTATATTAACATACACTCTATCCCTGATATTGAGCAATTTAAGCCATAAACATCGATAGTTTAAAACTATATTTTTATTATATATAGATATCTATTCAGTTATGGTCTTGCACAATAATGGAACACATAGTGAGGATTAAACTTATTAGTAATTGCTTGTGAGGCTCACTTTCACTTATCTACTTTCTCTCTTCAGTGTAGGATTTGGCTCACCTTACATCATGCAGAATATACTTTGCACTCAGTGTGACATCAGAGAAGTCATTTACAGGGATGATCTAAGATTCCTAGCCACAAAGTGCAGACTAACATGATTAGCATAGGTGCACCTGGTTTGCAAGTGTGTGAAAGAATTGTATTACGGGAAGCTATATAAACATCTACCCCTTGAAAGAAGAAGGGCAGTCCCTTAAACGTCGCATGGGAGAATGTAAGGTTCACATTTCAGATGAGAAGGTTTGCACCTCCCTCTCTCCACACAGACACACTGGTTGATAGCAATTAGAGTCCAGAGTCATTCTTTCTTTTTATGTGCCTGTCTGTATGTAAATAACTTCATGCAACTTCTTTATGTGCTCTGCAGGATGTAGGCGATCATGGCTCTCCATATTTCTCGTAAACTCTGTTTCACCATCCATTTATTCATGCTCACTAAGTATGTTATGTGCTGTTTTCCTCTGTCCCTCTTGCCTTCAATTTGTCCTGTGAGTATCAGCCCTCTTTTATCATTATGCATGATAGAAATTTCATGCAACTATTACTCTCCAAAACACCAAACATTGCCTTTCTTGGATAATGGCCTCAGGGTTTTGGAGCTAAAGCATCATTACCATTAACCCAAGGCAAGCCAGCAGTATCTCACAATATTTCAAGAATTTGTTAGTTTGTCCTCACAGTGTTGGAATATCAGATAAAATCCAAAATACAGCTTCTGCCTTAACTTGGAGCCACCTCTTAATATATTCCCTCTTTTACTAGTAAAAACCTGGGTTTACCTAATGATAAGGTTTTGTTGGAAATAAAACCTCAGCATACAAATTTGATATGAAATATATTACTTATCCAGCACTCTCCCCCCCTCTCTCTCTCTATATATATATATATATTACATGAATCATTCATACAAAAAACAGATATAGAAGTCAATGATATAAATGGCAATAATACATCTTCATTCATATCATTATGTTTTTTGTATGAGTGATTCATGTAATGTAAATTGAACTGCACCACATAGTTATTATATATATATATATATATATATATATATATATATATATTTTCAAACACTATTATAGTGATACTTCATATTTAAATTAAATGCCGTATTTTAATTTATTAAACACTGTATTACATCTGCACATTTGAGAAATCTCAGGAAAATGCATTCTCTGGCAGGAATCAAAACTATGTTCCCTTTAGTAGAGCAAACCATCATTTGATCTGGTTTGCTTTACTGCTTGGCCATGAAAAATGTCAGAGGAAGCAAGGTTCTATTCCCCTTCTTCCCTAGATTATTTTCTCAAAAGTTTTCAGATTAACTACATTCCTTAGTTCCACCAGTTCTAACCTCTGCAATTAAGACTCACCATACCACACACATTTTAATGAACCACCCTCATTTTCTTGGTGTTCCACTCAAACAGCTTCTTCCCATGAATCGCTGCTTTGTGGAACCGATTCCCAAGAGGATGCTTCCCTGATCACTACAGTCTGAATCTGTTCAAGTCTAGGATTAACCTTTATCTTCCTCACATATTCCCATAAACTGTGTTCTGTTTGAGTTGAGATTTAAAACTGTATTGAAATCTTATATTTTAAGCAACAGAAAATCAAATAAAATGTTCCATTTACATACATGATTGGCACAATCTCTGGATGCCAGCCAGTGAGATGGTGAAGTACATTAAAATCATGAAATTCATTACTGCAACCACGATTTCGGTAGCTGTAAAAAGTGGAGACAAAAAAAAACAACAACAATAACTAGAATAGATAGAATACAATAAAATGAAATTAATAAATTACTATGAAAAGTACATATCTTAGAAATTTTTAATAAAAAAATAAATTTGCACCTTCTTGGGCTAACATTTTCTTCTGACATGGAGTGGAAATATTATATTGAATCAATTGACATTATTTTCTATTCGAGTTACATACACTATCCATTTTAGATGTTGAAAGTAATGAAGTGATTTGGTTTCTCTTATGTGGTAATATTAGCCATTTCCTTATAAGGAAACATTTGGCATTCATTGATCAAGCAGCCAGTGTTACTGTTGGTTGAAATTTATAAATTCTTTCTCTTAAAACAATTTTTCTCAAATCCAGTAACTGTTATTCCTCTTTTTCGGTATTGAGTGGAACAGATTTATCCCCCAAAATCAAATTAATCTGAATGGCCTCATCAAGCTCTCTTTGATTCACAGCCATCTCCACCACTACTACTAGGGGAGAGAAAGGGAAGAAGGAGAGAGGATGACGATCCTGATGCTCAGATATGAGTATGTGCTGACAATGACAACTGATGGAATTTCTTTCCTAACCTTTTCCTTGAAGTAGTGTGGAACATCAACATCTTAATTATGTCATTATTTTCTCTTTGAGTTAGATGTGATATCCATTTTAGCTGTTGAAATTCCTCAAGTGATGTGGTTTCTTGTGTGTTGTCCAGTTTGTGATTCTGTAGTGCCAGTCCACAAGGTTCAAAGAAGAATGATCCTTGCTAAGACTTACAGGCTTCATTTGCTCAAAGCCATAGAGAATACTATATGTTAATACCCATTAACTGATAAACATATGAAATTAGATGTTATAAAAAATTAAAAATCTATAATCTTATAGTTACTAATAATACTGCCCTTTCTAATTCTCTTATTAAATAAAGACCAATGTAATATATGAATTTTCTTATCTTTTTGAAATTGTATTTACAATATTAATAAAAAGAATAACATATATATTAGTCCAACAACTACAAAGTTTTCACATCCACTAACATGCCAGTAAACAGACAATATCACCATGAAAGCTCATTAATGTTGATTGCCCACATATTTTTTTTTTAAGCATTTCAACCCAAGCACAGCAGGAGTGCCACTAGCATGCAAGGGGTTACAGAAAATGAAAGTAAGAGAAAAGAGGGGTTTTTGAGGAAAGAATAAAAAGAAGGACAGCGATCAAGATCAAGGCATCAGATGTTGATTGACATTACATTTAAATTTTTGAAGATTGTAGTTATCAGGGAAGCAAGTAAGAGGAAGAGAGTTTTACTGTCAGGAAGTGTGAGAGAAGAAGCTATTGGAGTAGAAGTAGTGGTTACATTTAACTGATTCAACAGTAAAAGGGTGGGACTGTAATACCAACCTAGTAGCATGCTTAAAGTCATGCAGTTGGTGCACCAGTGAAAATAACTCATCAGAGCAGTTGCCATAAAAATATTTGTAAAAAAGACAGAAGGAAGCCATATCACATCTGTGAGAAAGTAACTGGAGTCAAGATGCTAGGTCAGGACCTATCACATTGCATATTCATCTTTGAATTTTGTTGAGAACCTTGATAGAACAGTGGGGGTACAAGACCATATATGGCAACAGTATTCAATGCAAAGACAAATGGTAGATTTGTAGATTTGAAGGATGGACTATAGCAAGAAAAACCTTCTAGCACGACACAGAGAACCAACTTTAGGTGGAAAGATTATATTGAATAAGCTAATTATCATTTTGAATCAATTGCTAGGTTTGCTGCTAGGGAAGTTGGTTCACTGTGTAGTGCTAGAGAATTTTTCTCACCAGAATCTATCTTATATATTTATAAGTCTTCCATTCACCAAGCTTCAAATATTGCTGCCACATATGGTCTGGTGCTCCTACTATATATTTAGAGATTCTTGATAAAATGCAAAGAAGTATTTCGATGTTATTGATACTGAGCTGGCATCTCAGCTTCAATCACTTTCCCACTGCTGTGATATAGTTTCCCTATGCCTTTTTTAGAATTACTTTCATGGCATGGTCAGGTATTTTTTTTAAGCATTTCATGCCAAGCTTGGCATTAATGCCACTAACACGCAAGGGGTTGCAGAGAGTGGGAGCAAGAGTAAAGAGATGTGATTGAGGAAAGGATAAAGAGAAGGATGGGGAATTAGATCAAGGCATCAGAAGATGTCAATTGACATTACATTTGAATATTTGAAAACTATAACTGTCAGGAAAACAAGTAAGAGAAAGGGAGTTCCACAGATGGGAAGTGCAAGACATGAAGCTGTTTGAGTAGAAGAAACAGCTACATTTAACTGCTTCGACAGTGAAAGGGTGGGACTGAGATGCCAACCTAGTAACATGCTTAAATTTATGCAGTTTGGGAACTAGCAAAAATAGCTTGTTGGAGCAGTTATCATGAAAGTAGTTGTAGAAAAGACAGAGGGAAGTGACGACATGTCTGTGAGAAAGTGACTGTAGACGAGATGCCAGACCAGGACCAATCAAATTGCATATCCATCTTTGGATTTTGTTGAGGACCTTGAGATGAACAGCAGGGGGCTCATATATGGCAGCAGTAGTCCATGTAGGGGCAAATGGTTGATTTATAGATTTGAAAGGTGGACTCAGGCAAGAAAAACTTTCTGGTGCGACATTGAGAACCAACTTTCCTTGCAATAGATGAAGCTATTGATTCTATGTATTTGTTCCATCTTAGGTCAGCACACAGCTTGAGACCAAGCAGGGTCAGAGAGGCACTCTCATGGAGTTGAGCATCAGACATTCTAATGGGAGGCAGGGAGGGTTCTCTGTGGTGGGTAAATGAGATTGAACTCACAACTCTTTGGATCAAATCACTTTTAGATCAATCAACCAATGCTTTTATTCACTGGGCAGAAGGAACAAAACCTGAAGTTATGAAAGGGAATTGACTAAAACTGAGATATCCAAAGGCATGACATGTGGAATTAGAACAATCTACTCTCATGGACTAAATAATTGGTTCGGTTCAAAATTCTAAGAGATATCACCTGAAGAAGGCCGAAGCGTAACAACAGATGAAACATTGTGAATATGGCCATAAAGATGAAGACAACAGTCTAAATAATGTACAATACCACATCTCAGAAATATAGACAAATAAATATATAGTGTGAAACAAGATCTGAAACCAATAAAACAGTATTAACAAAAAATTATATTTAAAAATATGAAATAACTGATCAATGGCTGGATGAAATATCATGGTGGTCCAGATTTAACCTTTAGGCCATAGTTTGCCAATCCTTACATTGGGTGGAGGCATGCACAGCTCTCAACAGCACTAGGCATTGATGCTGTGGTATCTGTAGCAAGTAGTTTTTATGGGATGAAGTTACTAGGTTTATGCCCAACCATTTTTTAATGCAGAGTTGTCCTTCTCCTAGGCTGGTTACCAAGGCTAAGTATCCCAGACTGCCCTGCTATTTAACCCATAGTTGGGGAAGAAGAGATGGAGTCATATCTTTCTCAAGGGTATTTGCGTATAAGTGAATATAACAAACTTGACTGGAATTTGAAATTGGCTCTCTGATTTCTTATTCCATGCTGTTATCCATTACACCACCTGCACATCCAACAGCCTTTGATAAGAGATAAAATAAATAATTAAAATGCTCAAAGGAAATTAGCCAACTTAAAGAGATAGGACTGGTTACAAAAAAATGAAAGGTCACTTTTAAAGAAGGTTTTAAACTCTTTAAGTTAAAAGTATAAAAAACTAAAAGTGTTAACTATGCTGACTCTTGTGGTACTACCAAGGATTGAACTCACCATCAATGGTTAACAAATTTCTGAAGATATTAGACTCCTGCTCCTCAACTTAATGGATGTGTTCTAAACAGTAGAAGTAGTAGGCTTGGCCCCCTTCCTGCCAAAGGAGATTTAGCCTATAAGCATTATTTAAATTTATTGAAATTTCTCCTCAAGTTGAACTTTTCTATTGCCTGGAGAATTGCTGTCATTCAGTTTATTGATCAAGATCCTGTTTTATCAACAACAATTTTGAAATTACTTACTCAAGAGAAGCAATTTTGATTAGACCTTTTACAAGCAGCAATGGCCACAGTTCATTTGGTTGTGTTGTAGTTGGTAATAACAACTTGCCCTTGTTATTGTAGGGAAGGGTATCATCAATCGTTATTTTGCGCCAACATCCCTGAAAAAAATATAAAAATATAGTAAAATGTCTTAAAATTAACACCAGAATACAAGCCAATGTAATATACGAAGCTACGTCAAGGAAGCCATGAAAATCTATACATATAGAAATAACAGGTTCTTGAAAACAGAAAAGCTACTCACACAAAACTGCATTTAACATGAAAAAATATACAATATGCACAATACCCCCAAAATACGTGTGGGCTTACAGCCACATCATGTTGAAAAATCTGTTTGATCATTAAAGTTAAGCAATATCAAGCTGTGTTAGCACCTAGATGGGTGAGCACTTGGAAATTCCAGGTGCTGTCAAAAAGAAAAAATTCTTACAATCTAAAAATATTTTCTGGCTTTAAATAACCTGCAAAGAGTTGATAAGCTGTAGAAAATGAATCACTCAAATACTAATTAGCTACACTATGTCTTTTAGATTTATTGACATTCTCTGCAATATAAATGTATAGAAACTACCGTGGCCACAAAATGAGGGATCAATTTATATAGTGATTGTAATATAGAATTGATCTCCCACTTTATATCCACATTATTTCTTGTTTGTTTTTCAAATTCTGATTAGCTATGAATCAATCTCTTCTCCCTCCAGTTATAGGTTAATTAGTAAGACTTGTATCACTAAACCATTATTATCTCAAAAAAAATTCTTAAAATCTAAAAATATTTTCTGGCTTTAAATAGCCTGCAATGGGTTGATAAGCCATAAAAAATGAATGAATCCATCAATCAAAACATATATGAAACCTCAAAGGTACAAACCCCAAAAATATAAAAAGATAACATGGAAAATAAGAACAACAGTACCAGTTTAAACAAAATTTTAAAACAACTTCAGCTTTGCCTAGAGGAGAAAATAACAATAATTACCTTTCCAGAACAAAATAAACTTCTAAACAAAAGATCAGATCAGGTATGCGGGCATATCAAATACCTCAGAGAGTTGAATGCCCCTGACTTGCATAGTTCATTACCCCTGGGAATGTTGAAGGAGAGGGACTTGTCGTGAGGGGGGGGGGGGGTCTTATCATGAAAAAGAGACTTATCAGGAAAAATTTTGACTCTTGTGCAAACTGGACCTATTAATACAAAAATTTAAAATTAACCTTTAAACTGAATATAAATTATCCTCCATTGAACAAATGATGGCATTAAATAACCCTAATCATGTTGAAATGCCTTTAAAAAAATTTAATTTCCAAATGTAAACAAAATCCTATTATGCTACCTACAACCACATCAAAATTCAAAAAGACAACCAATAACCCATAACCTAAATATAATATGCTTTATTTCAAATACCAAGCATTAAAACCAAAGTATATAAAAAAACTAAAGAAATAAAATATTATAAAATAAATAAATTCAAGATCAAGACCATAGACCATCTAAAACATTAACCATAAACAAAAAAATGTGGTTAAATATATCTCCTGCTTTTCTCCTTTCTATATGCTCACATTTATATATATGTACAGCCCACACAAAGAGTAGTAATATATAGTCTGGTAATCACTTAAGGCTTGAAACTGCCAGTTGCTTTAAGTGCTGATTTCTGTTCACACTGTTTATATTTAAAAATGCTCCAATCCAAATATTGAGCACTCTTCCTCATAAATATGTATTTTACTTTTCAATTTGCAAATCAGATGTTTTTTTTTATTTTTATTTTGAAAATCAATTTTTGGAGGAATTTTGATTTTGAAAATCAAAATTTTGAATATTGTTTTTACATCTGGTCAACATTCTGGTGCTTCTGCTATGTATTTAGAGATTCTTAATAAATTCTGACTTTCATCTCAGCTTCAGTCACTTTCCCACTGTTGTAATGTATATTGTCTGTGCCTTTTCTCTAAATATCTTAATGATAACTGTTATAATGAACTTTCCTCTTTGGTATATTGACTTTAGAAATTTAAGTGTAGGACTAGATTAGCAGCTAGGTCTCATCAATTTACAGTTGGAATGGCTAAATGTAACCATATGTTCTATGCTAAGAGTTTCTTTTCTTGCACCTTTCACTTGTCATTTGTGGAACTCTATTCCAGCCTGCTGCTTTCCAGTTAACTTTGACCTTCAAAAATTTAAATGCAATGTCAATCATTATCTTTCATTGTCTTAATTCCAATTCATTTATTGTTCTCTCTCCTTTATAATGCTTTCCTTTTTCTCAATCAGTAACCCCTGGCATCTTAGTAGCTTTATTGCCTTGCTAGGGTTGAAATGATTAAAAAACAAAAATTGTTTCTTATTATTTTAAGTTAATAAATATTACTGACATTGTGTTCAGTAAGATGTGGAAACTTGGGAAGGGGATGGCCTTTATCATCACATATATTCAGGGCAAAGATCAAGATCAAAATCTTTGCCTTATTTGTCAAGGAAAATATGACCTTGAGGCCATTTATAATAGTGGGCACAGCTGCTTTGCCTCTATTTATAATTGGGTTGGAGATCTTTAAGAGCACTCAGGATCTGATTTGTTTGTTTTCAACCTTGGCCTGGACTGCTTGTGCATAGCTACACTTTGCATTTTCCAGGACCTTCTTGCAATGATTGCAGGTAGTTATGAATGCAGTAACAAACTACACTGCCCCTTGCAGTAGATATTGAAGTAGTGGTTATGGTGTGCTATGGCATCAGCACATTTAGGTGTGAACCAGGGTTGGCTGCTTGGTTTTTGATGGAATTTTTGGTGGGTATATAACACTTCCCATTTTAGAAAGGATCCATTCTGAGACAAGAGCAGCAGTTTTGGATAAGGTTGAGTGAGGAATTTCTGCCATATAAGATCTAAAGTTGGCCCAGTCTGCCTTCATGTAGCAAAATATTGTGCTATGGAACAGAAAATCAGGGGATGCCTTTGGTTTGGCATCAACTTGGACACTGACTAGCGAATGGTCTGACATGTCCATGGGAGTAAATCCTTTGCTAAGCATTTTTTAGGGCATGATGTGTGGGTGGGTGTGTATAATATATATATATATATATATATATACTAATTCCTTATAATAAAACAATATGCATAGAGAAGGAATAAGTATACACATACTAGCAAACACACATGCACATACAATACACAAAAATGTAGATAGGTTTAAAAAGATACAGAGGTCATAAAAAGATAAGAACAAAGACCTCCTTCCTTCACCATTTCTCTGACCAATTCTAATTGTTTTATTACCCCTTAAACATAAGAATATTTTCACCACAAGTTCAAAAAAATTTGAATTACTACTACACACAAAAGACAATGGTTAAACAATGGAAAACATAAGTAAAAATTAATTCCTTTTAATAATATGTGGCAATAACCACACTTTGCCTGATGAGGGCTGTGAGACCAGAAACACGTGTAACAGCAATATGGAAAATAAAGTATAATTTATATTTAAAAAATCCACATTATAACCAAAATGTTTGCTGCTTCTCTCTTCTTTCACTGGAACAACTATAACACCTCTCTTATATATATATATATATATATATATATATATATAAGGATATTAAAACAACATGTAAAAATTGCTACACAATTGCAGTTGTGTTTTGACACATATCAGTGCATCTCCTCAGGCGATTGTAAATTACTGGCAAGTGATCGACTGGTTTCCAAAGCAAAATATATCATCTTTTTTTGAAAAAAGTTAAAAGGCTTGAGGGCTTTACACTGATCAACCAATCGAATATGACTTACATTCAATTCAAAGTAAGAGAAAAAGAAAAAATTAAAAGTTTCTTAGAAATGGGTCATGACCAGGAGTTATCTGGCAACAGCAGCCAGACATTAAAGACTGATACAGATGGTTACATAAAGTGTATACATGTCAGATGGTCAACTTTTCCAAGGAATAAAAATGAAGAGATAGGTAATTTAACCTAATGAATGCATGTTATATGCTTGGTGAATTTCCTACATAATTTTTTTTGTAGTTGATAAATAAGAGGCCTCTTTAAGAAACTAGTAAATAATTCAAACATATAAAATTATTTGGTAAATTAATATGCAGCCATTAAATAAATATCATCCATATAAGATGTTAATAATACTAAACAATCAATGTAAAATGTCAAAATTACTAACTACCAATACATCATATAAGATGTTAATAATACTAACTAGAGACTAATACAGAATTATATTAAATCAAATTAATCTTACAAATAGAAAAATAAGCCATATATGGTGCAATACAGTTCAACTAAAATATAAGCAAAAGCATTATTAAATTCCAAAGTTTAACTAAATTGTAAGGTAAAAAGTAGACTATATATACAATTTACCGTTAATTCACTCCTTTGATTTAATAAGGAGTTTATCATAAAATCTGATAATTTCTAATTTTTCATGTCAACACAGAAAACATGGTTCATATAAAGATCTACATATTCTTGCCATTTTTAAAATTTTCCATTTCACCTTCAGAGTTTTATCTTTTAAACTCCAAAAATCTTTAGAAAGTGATGTATTATTTCTATAAGTACTATTTGTGAAGGACAATATATGCTGATACCAGAAAGTGATGTATTATTTCTATAAGTACTATTTGTGAAGGACAATATATGCTGATACCACCTAGTCTTAAAAGAATTCTTAGTCCTACCAATATAGAATTTTTCAATTGTTGGATTTTCTATTATAGAGATAGTACTTAGATAAGCAAGAGATTTAGATTTGTTTGGCAATGGGCATTGGTTAGAATTCCTACTATTACATTGGCTAGCATCATTAATAATATTTATCTTGGAGCATGAATTATGATCCAGATTATTAAATTGGTTTAAAATTTTATTATTGTGTAACTTTATAATCTTCTCAAGATTATTGGTGCAGGTATAACTCGGTTTTAATGTGTTTCTGTTAAATATTTTACTAACAGGGTTACTATTAGGGAAATTTTTAGCAATTAAATGGAGAAATTTCTGGCCTAACTTAGTACTGACCAATTGATTAAATTGGGGGTGTGTACCAAATGATCTTTCTGTTTCTTTAGACCACTATCATCATATTTCCTAAACTTGATTTCAGCATATTTGTAACCACTATTCTTTAAAACAGTATTATAAACATCGCTATATTTATCAAATACATCTTTGTCAGATCAATGGTTGATAATCCTATGTTCAATAGATGAAGATACATGTTTGATTACAGACAAAGGGTGGTTAGAATTGGGGTGAATATAAATTGGATTGGCATTATTTTTTATATAAGGTTGGAATACACCATTAACAAGATCTAACATAAGAAAATCTACTTGTTTAACATTAGTAGTTATATTAACCTTAAGATTTAAACTTTTTATTTTTTATGAAAAATTGGAAATTATGGTTAAAACGATATAAAAAAATAAGTTTGTAAAAAAGGACACTTTTGATCTATGAATTATGATACTTACCATAAAATAGAGACGTACCACATATTTTCCATGTGGATTATAAAGAGGCATGTGGGCTCCTTTTCCTGATTTACATAAAGCATAGATGTGTTCCCAAGGCCTCCAACTATGGGAATAAGTTACAGTTGATGTGCTCACATCATTGATAACTTCTTGACGTGGAGCAGGCAAAGTGGAATTCTCCCAGAGAGCTATAATTTGACTGATGATATGCCGCATCACCTGAAAATAAAAAGAAGTCATTTTTTCCAGTTGATAAATATAAGATTATTTTCAAAGTTTTCTTATTTGAATATTGCTGCCACATATACTCCGGTGCACCTGTTGTATATTTAGAGATTCTTGATAAAATGCCAAAAGAAGAATCTGCAATGTTATTGGTCCTGATTTGGCATCCTAGTTTTAGTCACTTTGCCGTCACTATACTGTAGCTTTCCTGTACCTTTTCTATAAATACTTTCATGGTAATTGTTCTGATGAACTTTCTGCTATGCTACCTAGACTTTATGAATTTATGCACAGTACTAGACTGGCAACAAGGTTTCACCATATTACAGTTGAAATGGCTAGATGTAGCTAAGTTCTATGCTAACAGTTTTTCTCATTTCTCACTTGTGGAACTCTCTTCTGGCTCCATGCTTTCCAGTCAACTTTGATATCTCCAAAAATTTGAATGCAATGTTAATTGTTATCTACTGTCTTTTTGATTTTTCTTCTGTTATTGTTCTCACTCCTTAATAATGAATTTACTATGGTAATGTATTGAAAAAAATGATTGGTTTCTAGAAATGCATTGAAAGTGATTTTATTGGGTAGATGCAAAAGTCTCCAGCTTTAAAAAATATATATATATACCTCGAGGCAGTGTAATGGTTAGCAAACTTGTCTCACTAGAATAATTATAACTGAGTAGTGAGTTTGATCCTCACTGGGTCCCCCTGCTTTTGGCCTTGTGCCAAATCTAAGCTATGCTTAGAAAATCAATATATATATATATATATATATATATATATATATAAATTTATAGGTAATTATTTCACTAAATAAATGCATTGCAAATGCTTTTATTTTCAAGATGAACTGTAAATGATTTTATTATAGTATGTGTTAGTAATTTTTAACTAATATATATATATATATATATATAAGAGAGATGTTATAGTTGTTCCAATGAGAGAAAAGTGTATATTTTAAAGAGAAAAGAGAAGCTGCAAAGGTTTTTGGTTATAATGTGGAATTTTTAGATATATATTATACTTTATTTTACATATTTTGCTACATGTGTTTTGGGTTTTGTGCCCTTCATCAGGCAAAGTGTGGTTATTTCCGCATATTATTTAAAAGAATTAATTTTTCCTTATGTTTTCCAATGTTTAACCTTGTCATTTGTGTGTAGTAGTAATTCAAATTGTGGTGAAAATATTCTTCTTTTTAAGGGGGTAATAAACAATTAGAATTGGTCAGAGAAAAGGTGAAGGAAGGAGGTCTTTGTTCTTATCTTTTTATGACCTCTGTATCATTTTAAACCTGTCTACATTTTTGTGTATTGTATGTTCATGTGTGTTTTTGCTAGGACATGTATACATATTTCTTCTCCATACATATATATTGTTTTATTATAAGGAATTACTATATATATATATATATATATATATATATATATATATATACATACACACACTATGGTCTGTAGGGTTTGCATGTACGCGTGGTTCATCTAATGTTTTTATTTTAACTACTATGTGTATATATATTCATTCTCCATAGATATATGTGTGTGTGTGGTCTGATTAGTGTGTTTGACCATTATGTGTGTATGCTGTGTGTGTATGCTGTGTGTTTATGTCTGTGTGTTTATGTCTGTGGGTTATGATCTGTTTAGTCCTGGTTAACCAAAAAAGAAAAAAATTTTATAATAAACTTCATCCCCAAAACACACAAATCGAGTGAAATAAAAGCAGCTATCCAGACACAAAAATCTGAATGTATTAACATCCTAAACTGCAGTGACCTTACATTCAGACCCATGGAAGCAGGACCAGCCTTGTCTAACTAGCAGACTCAGTAACTTAATAGACACCATATTAATATCTTCTACCGCCACTTAAAGACAATTTGACATGCATAGGTTCTCACTTTCCGTATAAACAATTATTTTTTTTTATGGGTGACTTTCATTGTATTTCACAATTAATTTCAATTATTCCCAAATTTATTTCCAAGTTATAAAACTTATTAGTATACAAAAATTTTTGTCTCAAAAAATCACCAAAAACAATTGCAGAAATGAAAACTTGGGAATCCTAAATTTCTGTAACATGACTTATTGAAAGTTAGAGAGTTATGTCCCTTTGATTGACAGTATGACACAGTAATATTGGCATTTATTATATAGAAGAGAGAGAGATTATCTGTCTGTATAACTCTTGTTATCATGGGTAGGATTTATGTAACATATACAAGAAAAATTTAATTCATTCTAACAATTCTTCTTTTACGTGTTGTGTCCCTTCAGGATATTGGCGATCATGGCTATCCATAATTTCCTGTCCTTTGTAATTCTTAGTAAATCTTGTCTTTTTGTTATCTCTCTTAAACCTTGTTCTACCATCCATTTACACAAGCTTGTTATGCACTGTTTTCTACTGTCCTTCTTGCCTTCAATACATCATGTGAGTATCAAATTTTCCAAGCCCTCTTTTCTTATTATGTGCCCTAGAAATTTTATCTCTCTCTCAAATATTAAGTATAAATGTTCTTTTTGCTTCCATTTTATCTAAAACTTTGTCGTTGCTCACATGTTCGATTCATGGTATTCTCATTATCCTTCTGTAGCACCACATTTCTGTGACCTCAAGTTTCTTCTTCATCTGTGCAGAGATTGTCTCGTATTCACTGCCATATAGACGGACTGATCTTATATAACAGTTCAGTACTCTTTTCTTTACTTCTAATGAAATTTTCTTGTTTCTTAATACTTTGCTTAGCTTTTGGAAGGGAATTTTCACTGTTCCAATGCACTTTTTGATTTCTGTGTCACACATTCTGTCCTTTGTTAAAAAAAAAAACTTCCCAGATATTTAAATTGTTGTATTTATTTGATTTTGGCATCTCCAATTTGTAATTTGGATATTAGGTTGTTCCTTTTGCTGACAACCATGCATTCTATTTTCTTGCAATTGATGTTTAGTCCTTTCTTCTCACTTTCCTTCACTACCTTCTGTAGGAGTTCTTGTAGTTTCCTTTCTATGTCTGCTATCAACACCAACATCTGCCTATCTTATGTTGTGCAGATTGTGACCTCCAATAATAAAGCCTGGTAGGACTTCTAATTCTATTAGAATCACCTCAATGTATAGGTTGATTAAGTCTGGTGATATGTCATACCCTTGTCTTACACCTCTTTCTATTTTTGTATATTTACTGAATTCATATTTCTATCTGTATACAGGTAGTTTGCTCTGGATTATTCTAATACCCTTCTCAAATATGTCATGGTTACCTAGCAGTCTCAACAGTTCTTTGTGCCATACATTATCAAACAATTTTGCATAATCTATAAAACAGGTATATATCCTTTTGCATTTGTATTGCTCTTTGATATCATTCTGAGGATAAATATCACATTCCTTGTTTTAGTGTCTTTAATGAAGCCATACTGTTATTGTCCTATTTCTGGTCTAATTCTGCTATGTGCTCTATTTGTCAGAATTCAGGTAATAAGTCTTGTTATATGGCTCATTAGGCTGATGAGTTGGAGTTCACATTGATTTGAACCTGGCTGCTAATGCAGTGCTTTGAAAATGGATCTACTTGGATCTTCCAGTATATCAGCATACTTATACATTCACAATCAAAAAAATGGAAACAGAGTTTTTCATTGTCTTGCTTAAAATCATTGTAAACTTTAGAATTTTTTTATTATTAAACTTTAATTACAGTAGTCATTCCACTAAGGAAATGAAAAGTGGGGTGCCAAAATACATTTACTTTTTATTAACAATAGCAATGCAAAAAAAAAAACATGACACAAACATAGTACTTATAAATATGTGCTGGTTGTACTCTAGAAACATACTACCTTTAAGTTAAGGTCAGGTTGTGGGTTACCATTTAGGAATATCCTTCATTCCACATTGGTGGGAGTCTGGATGTTGGCCATGGTACATCTTGTTCCAACCCTTTCTCAGGTCCAGATGACTTCTCTAATGTGCCAAGGACACTAATTCACCTCTTTTATCTGATCTAGGTGAGGGATTCTATTTAAATCCCTGCAACTTTATTTTGGAAAATCCAAAGTGATCAATTATTTCATTGTGTGTTGTTTTTTTTGTTTTTCTTAATTTTGAAAATTTACTACAGCTTAGGACTTCTAGTATTTTTAATTCTGTATTAACTCTAACCCTGAGTGGGATGGTCTGTCTTCACAGCTTTCAATTTATAGTACTTAGAATCAAAAAGAGATAGTGGAAATTTTGAGGCCACATAATGAAGAAAGAGGACTTGGAGAATTTGACACTCACAAGACAAAATGAAGGCAAGAGAGAAGAAAAATGAATACTAATGAGTTTGTGTAAATGGTTGGCAGAACAGGGATTAAGAGGGATAGTAAAAAGATAAACTTTACGAAAAACTACAAAGAACTGGAAGTTGTGAAGAACCATGATCACCCACGTCCTGAAGGGACATGACACATAGAAGAAAGAAAAAATAGGATAAGTCTTACCTCACTGTCATGGAGATGTTCATTGGCTGTGACCAGATCAAAAGTATTTAAACAGTTTAAATCAACAACGACCAGATTCTAAAAAAAATTTAGAAGAAAAAAATTCAAATTAATGCACATAGAATGAGGATTAATAATATTTATACCAAAAAACAAACATTAGAATAAGGTTTTCTCAATATAACTTTGAATAGTGTAAGGTTTCTTAGCTAATCTTTCTGATTGACTTATTAAGGAAAAGAAACACTATTCAATAGAACAATGCATCATAATAAAATATTAAGTGAAGAGAAACAGTTATTTTTTAAAAAGCTTTATTTAGATCCGTGGTTCCCAACAAGGGGCAATTTGATTTTTAAAGGGTGGGGGGAATTTGAGAATTAGTTATTAACAGTGAATTTTTTCTAGTCAGTCTATGTAAGTAAGAATATGTTCATGTGAGTTAATACATATAGTGCATATACAGTATAGATACATGAAAATATGTGTGTATGTACATACTTTATATAATATATATATATTAGTTTTTTTAACAATTTCTTAGTAATTTCTTCGTCAGTACTTCAACTGTCCTTCTGTTCTTTTATTTTTCTCTTTTATGGATATTATGTTTTTGGGAAAGTTGTTTAGACCAAGTTAACGAATGACCTTTCAGGCTACCTCCACATGAATAGGAGTCCACTTTTTGAATAAGTAAATTATATGTCACAGGGGCAGGGGCATGAGGATTTTAGAGATGCTGAAGAGGGCATGGCCAAAAAAAGGTTGGGAAGCATTGATCTAGATGCCTGCTGACAATGCTTGTGCTGTTTGGAACAAGGTTTGCAGATTCTCATCTGGCCTTATAAGGCACATAGTGGTACTGATTTGTACGGTATGCAGATCCCATCAACCCAAACAAGGATACAGAGTTTATCTGTCATATACGACTGTTACCTATTAAATTGAATACTGGTCTCAAGAATCTTAGGGGGCATGGACACTGAAATATAATGGAAGCCATCAAAAATGATGCATGGAGTTAGCTCTCATCATCATATGTAGGAAGGCATATATATATATATAATATATATATATATATAAATATAGTTTTAAGGTGTGCTATATTTATGGGATAAAGTGCTCAATATCAGAGATAGAGTGTATGTAAATATAAATATAAAAGTGAACATTGAAGTCAACACTCAGAAGCCACAGGCTGTTTCATGCTGGACGACACAAACGCCAGGCGGCCTGACAATTGCGTCCAGCATGAAACAGCCCATCGCCTTTGAGTGTTGACTTCAATGTTCACTTTTATATTTTTATATATATATATATATATAATGTGTGCATTTGTGTGTGTGCATGTTTCATTGAACCCCATGAAAATGTCTAATGAATTGGTCAAAATGCATATGTGACAATAATCCCTACGGACAGTTTCTAAATTCTCTTAGTTACCATAAAAGAAAAAATGTTAGAAAATTAGAAAAACTGAATAAAAACATAAAATCTTCTTTGTCCATCACATTCAATGAAACATATAAAAGATTGTTGTCCAAAATATATATATACAGTAGCGTCCAAAACTAAGGGACAAAATTTTAAAACCTAATATTTGTTAGAAATAACAACTGTGAAAAGCTGAAATTTTGACAACTGGTAGTCGTTATCATCCATAATAACATACTAAAATTTGAATCATTTGCAAAGGATAGAAAAAGAATTATAACAATTATTTATTTATTTTCAAAATAGGATCGTCCAAAAGTAAGGGACAAAATTGAGAAAACAATGTAAACAGTATGCTATATTCAAATTTTTGATTTCCTCTAAAGAATAAGTCTTACTTAGTCATTTGTAAACGTTGCATCAGCCGGCACCATGGCGAAACGCCAAAACTTGATTACTCTGTGAGACAAGCTATTGTGAAGCTACACAAGGAAAAGCACACCATTAGAGAGATTTCAGAGAAAGTGAAACGTTCCAAGAGTGTTGTAGGCAGGGTTGTTAAATCCTACAATGATACTGGCAAAATAGTTAGTGCTTTTAAAACCGGCAGACCCCGCAAAACTTCGGCAAGAGAAGATCGAATAATGCAAGTTTTAAGTCTTGCACAGAAATTAAAAGGGTTATGAATAGTACCTCATGTGTTACTGTGTCAAGACAGACTGTTTGTAGACGACTGCAAGAAATAGGGCTGTTTAATCGAACCCCAGGGAAGAAACCACTTGTTAGTTCGAAGAATAAGAAGAAGAGATTAGAGTTTGTAAACAGGTATGTAATTTGGACATATGAAAATTGGGCAAAAGTATTTTTCAGTGATGAAAGCAAGTTTAATTTATTTGGAAATGATGGAAAAAACAATGTAAAGAGACATATTGGTGAAAGATTAAGTGCAAAGTGTACTAAGAAAACTGTCAAGTTTGGGGGTGGAAGCGTCATGGTATTTGGAATGTTTTCTAGCCAAGGTACAATGCCTCTTGTCCGGTTACAAACTCGTGTAAACGCACAGATCTATAAAAACATTGTTCAAGATCATGTTGTGCCAATCATACAGAATTCCATAGGGCTACCTTTATGCAAGACAATGCCCCATGTCACAAGGCAAAGGTGGTAATGAGTTACCTTAGCAAGATTTGGAAATTATGGATTGGCCACCACAAAGTCCTGACTTAAATCCAATAGAAAATCCTTGGAAGACCTTAGGAGTGAAAGTTATGGAAAGAAATCCCACTAACACGGAGGATTTGTGGGTGAAGCTTCAAGAAGAATGGTCTAAAATTAGTATCGAGGATTGTCAAGAACTGATTCGTTTTTGTAATCGAAGATGTGAAGCTGTCATTGAGAGCAAGGGCTCATTTACTAAATATTGATTTTACATGTATTTTTATTGTTTTTTTGCCGTTTACATTGTTTTTCTCAATTTTATCCCTTACTTTTGGACGTTCGAAATTTGAAAATAAATAAATAAGTGTTATAATTCTTTTTCTATCCTTTGCAAATGATTCAAATTTTAGTATGTTATTATGGATGATAACGACTACCAGTTGTCAAAATTTCAGCTTTTCACAGTTGTTATTTCTAACAAATATTAGGTTTTAAAATTTTGTCCCTTAGTTTTGGACGCTACTGTATATATATATATATATAATATGCTAAAAATAGTTTTAAGGTATGCTATATTTATGGGTTAAAGTGGTCAATATCAGGGATAAAGTGTATATAAATATGTAAGTGGACATTGAAGTCAACACCCAACAATGACAGTCTGTTTCATACTTAAACACAATTGCACAATTGTCAAGCCATTTATATATATATATATATAATTTCAACATACAAATGCGTATGTATAGACACAACAGCACCCGTATACATACATATGTCAAATCCAAAACTGTCTACATATGTTTATATATGTATGAGTGTCGACGGACGACCAAGTGTGTATGCGTACTTCATTGGGCGTATGAACATACATCGATGTTTGCGCTAGCACAATGACATCACGACAACGTTTTTTCCCCCCCACTTCCATAATAACACCAATACACGCAATCTACATAAACCCAAAATTTTAAAAAATTAATCAGTTTGTCTGACGATCACAAGAGCGTGAAACCCAGGGTCACAAACTCACATCAATCCAACCAAATATGCTAGCTCTATCTCTGATATTAAGCGCTTTCTAATAAGTACCGCGCATATAATATGTAAATAATTATATATATATATATATATATATATATATATATATATTATATACACACACTTTTCACACATATATATATATATATATATATTTATGACAAAAGGGAAAACCTGTCTTAGCCAATGCATTTCATCCTCTAATGGACTTTATCAAGGCAAATGTAAGGATTTTATTTTGCAGCAAGTATTTATAAACAAAGAAAAATATTAAGTTTTTAGAACTTTGGGGGTATGTACTGCTCTATTTTTTCATCTTTTGGGCCTTTTAATAGTTTATATATTTCTATATACACATACTTCTGTCAAGGAATTAACTGAAATTTATATAACAACCAAGATGTGTCCCACACATAGTGGTGCTTCAGTATTAAAAAAAAAACACACCTTGGGTCTGTTCACAGGTTTGACTTTGTCAATAATAATAAAACACACTTGAATACATCACTGAATAATGGTCATTGTTTGCCCTTGATAACAATTACTTAAATATACCATAGTTTAACAGATAATAAAACTAGTAATATAATAATAGTGAAAATTCTTCATCTAAATAACAATAATAAAGACATAAAACTAGTAATAATAATGAAAATTCTTCATTTATGCAACAACAACAATAAAAGTATAATAAAACAAGTAATAAAATAACAAATACACCATTTCACTATTTAATAGTATACTTTAAAATATATATTTTGAATAATGCTGTATTTTATAGTGGAGAAGGCCAACTCTCATCTAAATAGAATCTCATGAATTTATAATAAATGTACAAAAAGAAACTTGAATAGACACATGGCTGAAGTTCCAGTAACATTTAATGTTATGCCACAATTTTTTCCCAACAATTCCTTGCTGAAATAGATGGGGGTGTCTTATACCCCTCTGAGTCTTGTATGCTATTAACAGATCATGACAGCTATTTGGGAGATGTGATTAGATATACCTTAATGTTTAAAAAAAAATATTCAGTATTATTATTGTTTAAGTAATAAGCATTATAACATAGCATAAATAGCTATATTGTGGAAAAAGGAATTTTTGACAATATACGCATTTTTTACATATTTATGATTATTTTTTTTACCTACATATACAAGAATATTGTTTTTGATAAAAGTTAAAAAAATAATTGTAAATACGTAAAAAGTTATGGATAATATTATACATTAATTACTAATTTGTTTTAATTAATAACTATTTGTGCACAGTTGTTGACATTAATAGCTATCATCTGATGTGTTAAAATTTTGGAATAATGCAATAATAAAAATTTAAATTTTATCTCTCTGATAAGTGTCATGATCTGTAAATACAGTAGATACATGACAAAAAATTGTTGTGAAATAAATGCCCTACCTTATTTACTGACATTTCACTAGGTCTTTTCCAAGAGTCCACTGTCATCGACGGAGGCATTTCAATCTTTCCATCTGGGTCATCAAAATGTGGGCTCTTGAAATATATTGCAGAAGAGAAATAACTACATGTATACTTTTTGTATATTTTTGTCAATTACTACTAGGTTTATATGGCATTGCCAAAATTAAACCATTGTACATTAAAGTGCACATTAAAAAGGATAATTTTATATGAATGTTAAAATATGTAAAAATTTAACTCATGATTTTTTTTCCTTTGAATCTAAACAAATCATTTACCACAAAGAAAGTTGGTTCTTTATGTCACACCAGAAAGTTTTTCTTGCCTGAGTCCATCCTTCAAATCTAAATCAACCATTTGTCCTTTCATGGAATACTGCTGTCATATATGGACTGGAGCCCCCACTGTTCGTCTTAAGGTCCTCGACAAAATCCAGAGATGGATATGCAATATGGTTGGCCTTAATCTGGCATCTTGTTTATAGTCGCTCTCTCACAGATGTGCTTTCACCTCCTTCTGTTTTTTCTACAAATACTTTCATGGTAACTGCTCTGATGCGCTACTTTCGCTGGTTCCCAAATTGCATGAATTTAAGCATGTTACTAGGTTGGCATCTCAGTAACACCCTTTCACTGTTGAAACTGTTAAATGCAGCCATCTCTTCTACTCCAATAGCTTCATGTCTTGCACTTCCCATCTGTGGAACTCCCTTCCTCTTACTTGCTTCCCTGATAGCTATAATCTTCAATTATTCAAATGCAATATCAATTGACATCTCCAGATGCCTTGATCTATTCTCTGTCCTTCTCTTCCTTCTTTCCTCTAACACGCCTCTTTACTCTTGCTCCCACTCTCTGTAACCCCTTGCGTGCTAGTGGCACTCCCGACCTGCTTGGGGTGAAATGCATAAAAAAATCCATCAGGAAGAGAAAGTCTCTCTGGGCTGAAGTGAGTTAGTAAATTAGTTTTGCAACATGCAGGCAACCTTCAGTTTTTAGGGGATTCTTTGATATCCAGAGGGTGGTGACAAACTTTTGGCTTTTAGTGTATGCAATGTCAATCAACATCTCCAGATGCCTTGATGTATTACCCGTCCTTCTCTTCATTCTTTCCACTGTCATGCCTGTTTACTTTTGCTCCCACTCTCTGTAACACTTTGTGTGCTAGTGGCACACCCACCTTGTTTTGTGGTGAAAAGCTTAAAAAAACCCTCAGAAATAGATTTGATAAATTTTTCATGGGTAGAAACTGATGAATATTATCAAGTTTGATTGTGAGAGTAATAGCTTTCAGTTGCTATTGCCTGGTTTTGGTAAGATGCTTATGGTTTGACCAACACTTACTCTCTTTTCTGTGATTAGACAGATATATCTGCCAATGAAGTTGCAAGGTAAAGTGGATTCATGCCTTTCCTAAAGGCATTTGTCCAAAGTGAATATAAACAGCTGGAATTGAACTGGTGGTGTTAGTTTCCATATTTTCCTCTGGGAAAATTGCCACATAAAAAATAATATGAAACTTTTATGAGTTGTTAAAAATAAGAATTTAATATGAGAAATAAAAAATACTTACAACCGGAGATTTTAATTTCCCAAGATCTTTTCCTTTGTTTGAAGCATCCTTGAATTAAAAAGAAAAATTGGAAGTTGAAATTTATCATGAAACAGGATAAATCCAATTTATAGCAAACAATTATTTCTAATACTGACAGATTTAAAAATACAAATTGAAATTAATTTTTATATAATACAATTCCTCAAATATTTTTATATTCTACCCTTATTTATAATAAAGCTAATAATGTATAATTTAGAGTTTTTGGAACCTAACCATAATCCTGGGTTGCCAGATGGAGCTATTCATGGCAAATTGGCTGACATGCGAGGTCCTAGCACTAATAAATTTTGAATTGTTTTTCTTTTTATTAGTAGCTCAAGTTATCCCAGTTTATTTTAAACTGATTGAGTGATTTTTTTTTTTTATGGCTTATCAACCTTTTGTGGGGTGAAGAACATATTTCAGATTGTAAGAATAATTTTCTTTTTGAAAGTTAATATTGCATTAAGAATTTCTTGAGAATAACTATGAATTTCTCAGATGCAAGTCCTACTATTAACCCACCCCTGGGCAGAGGGATTGACTCATACCTCTTCCAAGGTTACTTGCACATAAACAAATGTAATGAACAAAACTGGAATTTGAACTCAGTTCTTCAATTTCTCATTTTAACCTACTATCCATTAAACCATCTGCACATCCTCAATTTATTTTAAAAGTGGCCCATAAAGTAACAAATAGTCAAATTCATAATTTAGTATAGCTTAGATTTCAATAGCTTCAAGTAAATGGAGCTTAACAATCCAGGAAGACAGTCCGTCTAGGGGAAGGAAAACCCTGATTTTAAACCTCTGCTGTCTTGCTGTCATATCAAAACATAGAAATGGCTATGGAAGTAAATTAAGTAACAAAATGGATAAGATCTGGAAATCCAATCTTGCTCGTCAATTCAAAATCCAACTTTTCCACGTACTTATTGAGCCAATCTTACTCTATGGCTCTGAAACTTGGACTCTCTCAGCAAAACAACAGCATCGTTTAGATGGATGTTATACACGTCTTTTAAGAAGAGTGCTTAATCTCTCATGGTGAAACCACCTAACTCTAGAAATGATATATGGTGACTTGCCAAGAGTATCAACCTTAGTTTGTAAGAGACGTGTCCAGTTCGCCGGGCATTGTGCACATGCCACAGATGAACTTGTGTCATCATTTGTACTCTGGAGGCACCCATCATCTGTCAATCGATCACGCAAGTTAACCTTTCCAGATAGGATAAAACGTGACACATTGATCCCTAAGGAAGATCTTTTAGGTGCTATGACAGATAGGGAATACTGGAGAGGTGTAGTGAGTTCAATCTCGGCTGAGGCCGCAAGATGATGATGTAAACTAAGACAGAAAACCCATTGTGGAGCTCTGAAAGTAGTTGGCTATCAACACTGACAACTTTCTGGCTTGTATTCCCTTGGATCTTGTCAGTACAGCAGAGAGTAGGGGGGGGCATATAGTCTTGGCATCACACAGACTCTATGTACTATCGCTCATGCCTGGCCCTAAAGCAGTCCCTCCAATTACACCATTAAATGACTGAATTTTGACCAAACCTTTATCACATGAGATAAACAGATGCCTACTATGAGCTTTCAAAATTAGCCCAGTCTGGCAAGCCCTGCTTCAATCTCTCATGACCAACAACAGATATTGCAACTATTTTTGCTGTTGTTGTCTAGGCAGGTAATTATCAATACTAATATACAAATTCTTATTGGCTGAAAAACATGAAAATTTGCATAAGCTAACTGATGTAATGGAATAACCTGTGACCCCCATGAGTGACTACAGTATAGGTAGTAACTATCTATAAGTATCTGTAAGTCAACGGACTACAGAGACTAGCTGGGATCTGTTGAGTACAACTCAGACTTACGCGAGAACTACCGACCTTTCAATTGTAGCACTCACTACTGGATTGACTTGTGATGTCCTTGTGCATAACTGTTTATTCTTATTGTACTGGTGTTTTACAATAAACCTTTACTTATTTTATCCACCTTATTTTTCAAGTATATATTCCTATTAGCACGGAATATAACAATAACAAATCTGTTCTTAATAATGGAATGTAATTGTTTAATTGCAATTGAATAATATTGAAGAAGGTTTTATCACTTGCAAAATCTTTACAACTTGTCTTCTTTTCTGAACAAAAAACATTCTAGTTTTGTTAAAGAGTAAATAAAAAAATTGTAATGCATTGTAGGAAATTTGAACAATGAATTAAACAAAATACATTACCCATTTTTCTGCGTCTATATCTACAAATTCTGGCCAAAGGACACTCTTTGTGCGTTTTGCATCACCACCTTGCTGTATGGAAGCAGCTCTGAGAAAAAAATCAACAATAATATATGAAAGTTCAATCCAATAGAATATATATGAGGAAATGTGCTACATTTATATGCAATATATTCAAATATAACTGATGGCATTTTCATATGATTATGTGAATTAAATAAGATACAAAGATGATATTTGAGGTCATTATTATTTTAGGTTTATGTTAACTTTGATTTTTAACATTTTGAAACTTGATTCTTAAATTAGTACGTAATATAATATTGATCTTTAGTGTAAAACTTTGTTCATTTAAGATGTATTAAAAATGCCTTTGTTGAAATCATTGGTAATAGTTACAGGTTTTTAAAAGATAGTTCAGGCCTAAAATAAACTAATCAAAATTGAATTTAATATTTAAAGAAAGTTTGTAATTACAAAAGGATTTTTTTCTTATGATACTCATTTATTTTTTGTAGGTTGAGTCATAATTTGGTTGATTTGTTTTTTACAAGTTATAAACCCATTGTAGTAAAAACAAAAATATATTTTGGATTGTTAGAATAATTCTTTTTTTTTTTAGCAATGATTTTTTCAAGAACTGTTTTAGCTGGAGGGGGAGAAAATTTCTGTTTTGTTTATCAACAATCTACTTTGTTTTTTTCCTACCTGAAAGCATTTGAAACCTAAACATTCACCTTTCCCTATATTGTTTGTATCTTGTATTTTGTTGTATGTTTATGTGGCGGACATGAGACAGAACCTGGGATTTTTTTGATTTCGCCTTGTCCCCGTAAAAAAGAGCCCGTATTTGCTTAGCATGTAAAGCTACTGCAGTTGAAAATGAGGGGAGAAAAAAAGTACTTACCGGCTTGACGTAATCCATCCTCGCCAGATAACATAAAAGAATGAGGGGGACTGCACGCATTTTTATCCAATGTTTTTATGGGACATGGACTTAATGCATTTGGGACATTGGGATCACAGGAAGACGCCAAAGGGATTATGGGTACATGAACAACTATTTTTTTTTTTTTTGTATGAAAAGTTAGTGTGATTTGGAGACAGAACTTTTGAATTTACTCGTTGGTTTTTTTTCAAATGATTCTTCAAATGGAAGGCAAAGTCTTTTGACGTCCGCTTGATTCAGAATTCAGCGGAACCAACATATTGTTGAATGGATAGAAAATGTGGGAATTGGTTGAATTTTGTCATAAGATTGATCTTGCCTTTTAACCTTCGCTGTATATAGACAACTCAGTGGAGAGCAGAGGGCAGACGCGAACAAATTCCTGATGACAAATTTAATTCGGACCAATTTTGGACCGCCTTTCACCAGGGGAAACTGTGGATGAATTCCTGGCTTGCATTTGGAGAATTTTTGATCGGTGGATGGCATGTGCATTTGTGTCAGGACTGCCACATCATGTTGCTTTTCCAGGATGGACGACATGAATAGAACAGATTGAGCAAGGGCTTTTTCTTATTGGCCGCCACATTAGTTGAGGTTTGTTAGCCAAACCTGTTAGCAGAACGACAACCTTGCTTTGGACCCAAGCTTCATGGCGAAGAATTGTATTGACCAAATGAACAGAACGCAGAGGTTGGTTGGGTCTGTTTTCGATGCAACGGCATCGGACATCCATTTCTAATTAACAAGTAAAACCGAAGCTACCCACCTTGTTTGGGTAGAGTGCACAGCCATAGAGCTGGTCAAGATGTGTGTCATGAACGGAAGTCTAATGAATTCAGCTTGTTTGAGGTTCTGGTCCATAGAGCTTCATCATGAATGTCTCGAAAATGAACACATGTGCCGCCTTGTTAGAGTGACGTTTCCAGCACAAAACGTGGACTGCATTGTTCAGTGGTCATCAATGTCTAATGAACATTCTTGTGGCAGCGAGACGGTCCATAGAGCTTCATCCCACCCAAAGGATTAACCTTAATGGCGGTCGTACAAGAACACAAACAGAAGGTCCGAACTTGAACGTGGGAGTTGAATTCTTGTTTGGGTCCATGGAGCTTGAGCATCATGAATGTCTCATGAACACAGTGGTCATTAAGGGCAAGCGTTTTTGCTTTCTTGTTTGGGTCCATGAAGAGGCTTCATCATCAGGAATGTCCAATGAACATTCTTGTTTTGGGTCCATAGACGGGCTAGTTCATCATGAGAGACGGAACTAAGGTCCTGGGTCTGCAAGTCTAATGTTCCAGAAAAGGTGACCATTTTTGTGCGGGAAACTTTGTCATTTCCTGTTGGGTTGGTTTAGGGGGCAACTGCATTTATTAATATGCAAGCACATCATGAATGCGATGCCCTCTAATGAACACCCTTGTTTGGGTCCAATGAAAGACAGTTTGGGTGGTTCATCATCAATGGGAGCGCTGTGGAAGATCTTGCTGGTTAATGAACATTCTGTTGATGGGTCCAGTAGATGCTTCATCATGAATGTGTCTGACACCCTGAAGAAGGACGCTGAATTTGTTTCTAGAGAATCTTTGGAGGATCATGACTATGATGTCTGAAATCAGAACATTGCCGAACGCTGGTTGGAGATGCACAAGAAAGGAGGAGAACCGCAAGTGAGTTGTGTCACTGCAACGAGCCAGTTGAGCAAACGTCAGGTGACCCACATCCACCAGCAGATAAAAGAACAATGTCTAATGAGATCCAACGGTGTCAAGGAACTGGTAAAATTGTTTGGGAACCTGTGAAGCCTGCTAATACGATCCAGCACCAGTCATGGAAGAAAGGGAAATTTGAGGTGTGAAAAATGAGCAGGTTAGCAATGGACGAACATGGTAGCCATTTTTACGTTTGGGTCCACTCTGCTGGTGTCATTTCATCATGAATGTCTAATGAACACGCTCACTTGCAGTTTGGGTCCATTTGAGGTTCCATCGCCTGAAATGGCATTGTGGAATGAACACAGAAGCGCCAAAACCATAGCGCCAGGAAAAAATTGTTGGGTTTACTTGCATAGTCACCCCTAAGGTTTCATCACAGAATGCCCGGGTAATCGACGCGACGCCCCGCCTGAACACCATTGTTGTTTGGGTGCACGACCAAATTTGGGAACCGGATAGAGCTTCATCATGGAATGTTCAATGAAGACCCTTTGTTTGGGTCCATGACGAAGAAGACTTCATCATCAATATCTAATGAACAACCAATTGTTTGGTAGTTTGCCAATAGATCGGGACGTGTCTAATGAGAGCCCTCTGATGAAGAAATTAACCAATCCCCTTTCGGAACAAAAGACCGTATCCTTGTCATCTGTGTGATCCGAGATCAGGGGAGGCTATTTTCGACTTGCCTTTGTCAAAATGACATTCTTGGGTCCATCTTGCAGTTGAAATAAAAATGAATCCATCCTCGGCCAGAATAAAAAAAATCGCATTTTATCCAATCCAATGCATTTGGGACATGACTTATTGGTGGGACATGGACGCAATGAATTATGGGACAGGAAGTCTTGACCTATAAAAAACACTTTTTTTTCCAATATTTTTCTGGGCAATGTCTCCATAGCATTACTGTTTTCTTCATTCGCCCTTCAGTTTACAACCTTTTCTTATTGCCAAATACTTTGCTCTGGATTGCTTTTCAATTACAACTTTAGATCTTCATCATCCATGTCTAATTAACATCCTTGTTTGGGTCCATATTATTTGTGAAATGAAATCCCCATTGTAATCCTTGTTTGGGTCCATAGGGAATGTTAATGACATTCATCATGAATAATCTTTGTTTGGGTCCATAGATCCATCAATGTAAAAATTCTTGTTTGGGTCCATAGAATGTATACTAGTTTGAATGTCTAATGAACACCCTTGTTTGGGTCCATAGAGCTTCATCATCAATGTCTAATGAACACCCTTGTTTGGGTCCTGTTCCATATAGATTCATGAATGTTAATGAACACCCCTTGTTTGGGCATTCATCAATGTCTAAAAATTCTTTTTTGGGTTAGATTTTTTTTAAATGAACATTCTTGTTTGGGTCCCCCAGAATGTCTAATGAACAGCCTTGTTTGGGTTCATTGAGGATAATGAACACCCTTGGGGTAGAGGAATGGACCCTTGTTTGGGAACCAGATGTCTAATGTAGGTAAACATCAGAATGTCTAATGAACACCCTTATTGAAAGAAAAAAATAAATATCTTCAAAAATCCAGAACAAAAAAACTTTACAATCCAATTTAAGTAGCAAATGACCAAAAAATTTCAGAGTTTAGGCAGAGATGTTAGAAGTATTGAATTGAAGTAGATTTTAGAAGAAACTGGAAACCCAATCCTAAACAGGAAACAAGGGATAAACCCCTCATCCTGTTCAAAAGACTGGGAAACCAAAAACAGAAATTACTTATGACCTGAATTAATATTTATTATTTATATCCTTATGGATCTTATATGTCATCAAATACCATTCCCTCTCAGTAATATTATGTAATATGTATTAATTGATCAGTTAATTAATTTAGTAATTTTGATTTCCTATAGTGAGATAAGTTTCTCACTTCCTGCCTCTTTCTTCTGCTATCATATTTCATGTCATGTCTGACCCACATATGACTCAACCTCATATATTACAGAAGATAAGTATTAAATAAACATTAAATTATTTTTCCACTTCATAAATGGACTTTTTTAAAAAATATCTTTAACACCCTAAACTATTTTTGCATCATAGAAACAAACAATTTCCTTTAATCTATTTTAACAGTGAAAATAATAAATTTATTCAAAATTTAATTAGATGTTAGTGGAAATATCTCAAATATAAAAATAAACTTTCTCAAAGAGAAATTGTTGTTTTAAAGATTATAAAGTTAATTAGGTTATCATTCCATTGCATTAACAAAAGTTAATTAAAAATCCTTTTTGAACAAATTGGTTAGTTGCAATTATCAATTAATGCTTAAGGTGGATGTTAGTTAACAATAATTTAGTAACAACAATAGTAATCAGACCTAAATAAATCCATGGAAATTAAATGAAAGTTATTCAATTAGATGATTCACGATAACTTAAATTTTAATAGAATTA